ATGTCTAACTTTTTTCTTTTTTTTTTTTAGAAGATAATATTGAAATTGGTATGTGGTTTTTTGTCCAGTGAAAGGATTGTACTGGAGCAAATGTTTAGATGAGGATATGCATACTGCTGCACCAAACTTGGAAAGACCAAGTGATTATCTGAGAGGACGGTGTCCTTTGTGCTTTGGTGGGAAGGATTGGTCAAAGCCTGATGATTTGTATGTGGAGTTTTTTGGCAACACTATTATTATCAGGTTAACTTTTTTTATAAGGGTTGATTTCATTGTCTGCTTGTCTGCTTGTTTCACTTCAGTCACCCACCTTGAACAAGCTATTAGCCTTGAAACATATAGGTATATATCCAGGCTAATAGGTTCCTTGGCCGTTTATTTTTTTGCCTCTGGAGGAAAATATATTATTGCATTGGGCAAAAATGTTTGACCTTCATTATTGTGACTGGAAATATTTGGGTTGATATATTACATTGAAAAATATCCTAGCCATCTGAAAGTGGTTGGAAATGTTTGAAGCATGTTAGAGTGGTCGGAAATATTTGAAGTGTTTCAGACTGGTCGGAAATGTTTTAGCTATGTCACACTGCTGAAAAATCTTTTGGTCATGTCACACTGCTAAGAAATGTTTGAGCCATGTCACACTGCTGAAAAATGTTTTGACCATGTCACACTGCTCGGAAATGTTCTAGCCATGTCACACAGGCAAAAAATTTCCTGCCAGTGTCACAGAGTATCTGGGGTCCTAGTTTCAAAAAAAAAACTTCAAAAATTTCTGACCATTCAAACTTTTATCTTCTGGATTCAACTTTTCTACAAAATTTATCATAAAGATAATTTCACAAATTACCTTATTTGGAAATATGCACAGATCATATCCACCATGCACCCACATTGTCAGTAACAGTTAATAGTATGTCTGTTCTTTTTTTCTGTTTTCTTTTCTGATTCTCACACTATATTTGTATCAATTGCTATATTACAAAATGCATACAAACCATGTAGATGGTACCTCAATATTCCTGACAATAGTCCATTATTTTTCTCTTTTTCCTGTAATTTTATGGCTATATTTTCATTATAGACTATATTTGGAAATATGCACAGACCAAGTAAACAGTACACCAAGACCTATTTACATCACATGATTTTTCTTATTTTTCTAATTACATTTGTATTAATTACTATATTAGCAAATATGCACAGGCCATGTACATACCCAATATTGTCAACAACAGTCCATTTTCTTATTTTTCTGGCTATATTTGTATCAATTGCTATATCAGAAAATGTGCACAAACTATGTTCATAGTATGTCAATATTGTCAATAATAGTACATTATGTTTCTGTTTTTCTTCTAATTTTCTGGCTATATTGTCATTAATTACCATATTCGGAAATATGCACAAACCAAGTAAGCAGTACATCAAAATTATCACATATCATTTGAATTTTTTATTATTTTTCTGCCTATATTTATATTGATTACCATATTGGAAAATATGTACAAACCCTATATTGTACCCCAATATTTTCAACAATACTTTATTATTTTAATTTTAATTTTCTAATTTTCTAGTTTCTCTTCTTATTTGTTTGGCTGTATTTGTATTAATTACTATATTGACCATATATCTATTTTCCCCTTCTTTTTGTCTGATTTTCTATATATATTTCC